CATCCATCCATCCATCCATCATCCATCCATCCATCCATCCATCCATCCATCCATCCATCCATCATCCATCCATCCATCATCCATCAATTATCCATCCATCATCCATCATCATCCATCCACCATCATCCATATAGTGAGTTTTACAGATTAAATACTTGGTCACCCTGGCGACACAGTGGGAAACACCGTTACTCTCAGCAGCACAGATTCAGTGTTGCCATGGTGACATTTTTTTTACATTAAACTGAGCAGTCAACAACATCCTCCAAGTTTACAGCAGAACGGCTGCAGCAGCACGCAGAGGCAGAGGACGTTACCCTCTCCACGTATTCAAAGACCAGGTARAGCTTCCCCCTCCTGCGGAAGGCCTCCTTCAGCTCCACGATGTTGTCCTGCTTCAGGGTCCGCAGCATCTTCAGCTCCCGCAGCGTGGTCTCTTTGACCTCCTCATTCTCTGCGTGGGGATCACACACACACACACGTCAAGACGTTCCTGCTGCCGCCTCACACGCAGCCTGAACCTCCGCTCACCTTCACTGTCTTTAAACTTCTTGATGGCCACCAGCTCGTTGGTTTCCTGTGGAGACAGGAAGTCATCAGAGACCCAACAGGACCAAGAACCAGCCRCTTCGGATGTTCTCAGTCCATTAAATGGACGTTATTAGCGGTTATCAGTCCCATAGAATGGCTTCAGAATGTCCCGACAGTGCCCCCTAGTGGGTTACCAGTGCCMTATACGTTGGAATGCAACRATCTGCTACCGCCAGAGTCCGGTCTACTTTATCATAGCCCATGTTAGTGTCTYTAATATTACTGGCTTTATGCCTCATATTAACCAGCTGACAGTCTGAAGCCATTCAATGGGACTGATAACGGCTAATAACGTCCATTTAATGGATGATAACGTCCAAAGCAGGTGCAAGAACTACGTCTCTTCTGTGTTTCACACTGTGGTCTGCAGCCAGGTGGGTGATACGCTCCCCTTCAGGAGTTCAAATATAATGACATCACAGCCCAGAGAGCTCCTCCTCCTCCTGGTGCTGCTTCGTCCTTCTGTCTGCAGAAGGTCAGACTGTCGGCTCGAGGAGGAGGAGGAGGAGGAGGAGCTGCGTGTCACCTCTTCATCACACAAACCAGCTGTTTTACAAGGATGACACACACTGAACCATCATGTCTGCAAACATAAAGATTTACAGCTCTGATGTGAGACAACAAACACTCACTGAGGTTCTGGAAAATAAAAACCTCCAACGATCTGTTTTAAATCAGMTCACTTTACTGCATGAATGAATATTAAGTAACAATTGTTATTTTATTAGAGCAAAATATGCCTCAAATTTCTTATTCCATGAAAGTAAAAGAGATTTACAGTTTGTTATTGATGGGGTCTTGTTACATGTATTGTTATTTTTTTTTTTTTAGTCAAAGATCTTAACAATGTGGCTCTGAGTGTAAAATAAAATATTAAAGAAGTGTCACCAACATATTTTTAATATTTAGCTCACTTTCTGAGTGTTAAGTTTTATTTTCATTGTTTAACTCACTGTTTTTACTTTTTGCTCATTTTTAGTAAATGTTAAATTTAAATGTTAAATCTTTAATGTTGTGACTAAATGTTAAAG